TTCCTGTTCACTAATTAGGCAGGGATTTAAGTGCACGTATCTCTCCCATCAACATCCATGTTCTTTTCCCACCTCACCAGAAGGTAAGTACCTCTTACCTTTGATTTCCTTCTATTGTATCCTCTCATATTCCCCACCCCTTTACCTAGAAGGGCTGCCTTTGCTTTTTCCCCACATTGCACAGTAGAACTTTAACAATACTTAACGTCTTCCTGCTTCTACTAGTATTTTCTGAAAGTAAACTGCCAATTTCAGTTTTTATAGGAAAATACTTTTAAAAAATAACCTGTTTCAATTAGAATCACCCATATTGCAAAATTTTTAACCAATTTTCCTTTATGAACACTGCCTTATTCTTTTCTCATAGTAAAATTCTTATCAAATCCCTACTCATTTAACAGGAACTCACATTACTCTACTGCTCATTATAGTCAACAACCTCTCTTTCCGTACTCTTAGCCACGTCTTCCACACTACTCAAGCCTCAACAAGTTCACAGCACGTGCTAAGATTTCCTGAATCATCCAAATAATATAAAATTTCTGACCACTGGCCTCTAAATTTATATTGCAGATGTCTATTTATTCTCATTTCCTACTTCACCTCTGTCTTGCCTTTATCTTTTTAAATAAGCTTTGCAAATCCTTCCTTAAAGCTATACTTTCTTATCTAAGTTTTTCCCCAAGTTGTTCCCTGTACATTGAAATAATTGTCCTTAACACTTCATCACCTTCTTCCTACAGTAACAGTTTAAGATCTAAACCCTCTACTCAAAAATCAAACATCTTGCCTAGTTAACTCATCTATTTTAAATGTAACTATACTATCCCTTACATTTTTCTTTCCCATTAATAATTTTTTAATAATTACTTTCTGCTATATGTATTGTAGTTGGTCTCTCCAAGTTGGAATATAAATTCCTTAAAGGCAGGAAGTACCCATTAATACACACTCCAAAATCTGTTAAGCGCTATGTATCTAAACACTGAAGTACCATAGAAGAGATGCAATGAAAAGAACTCTAGGCTTAGCATTGTAAGACACTGTAAATTCAAGCAACATCTCTAATGTATTATCCTAAACAAGTCACAACTTCACTGGGTCTCATTTTCCTCTTCAAGAAAATGAGAAAAATACCTGCCCCATTTATTTCAGAGAATAAGGTTTGGGGGAGAGGGGAGCATTACTTACTCTATAATCATTAATCAATACAAACGTAAGGAAATAATTTATCATTTTTTAAAATTTTTTAATTTAATTTAATTTATTTATTTTTGGCTGCATTGGGTCTTTGTTGCTGTGCACAGGCTTTCTCTAATTGCAGTGAGCGGGGGCTACTCTTGGTTGCGGTGCTTGGGCTTCTCATTGCGGTGGCTTCTCTTGTTGCAGAGCACGGGCTCTAGGTATGTGGGCTTCAGTAGTTGTGGCTTCAGTAGTTGTGGCTCGCGGGCTCTAGAGCACAGGCTCAGTAGTTGTGGTTTATGGGCTTAGCTGCTCCACAGCATGTGGGATCTTCCTGGACCAGGGCTTGAACCCGTGTCCCCTGCATTGCCAGGCGGATTCTGAACCACTGTGACCAGGGAAGCCCACTTTATCATTGTTAGTCATAGTTATCATGACTAAAATAAGCCTCTGTTTGTTTTTTTTAAAACCAAACTCAATGCACAACAAATTAAGTGAATCAGCACTGTACATCATTTACCAATAATGTAACTTTTGTACTATAAGACTAAAAGAAAGCCATATGTTTAACAGTAGGGATGTTCATTTTATAGTATCTTAATTCATTCTCAAGGTTAAAAAATAAATACACTGCTAAACCAATAATAACTGCCTTCTAATCTATTAAAATCAAGAGTGTTTAAAAACCCCATTCACTTTTGTACCCAAATAGCTGAATTAAAAATTTTAAGAAATCCAAAATGTAGTTTAAAATTGTACAAATCTCCATTTTTAACTGCCTAAAATGTCCATGTGCACTATCTCACTGTATTTTGAATCCATCACATGTTATAAATAACAGACTGCAGAGACAAGGAGAGATACAAAATATATATAAAAACACAAAATAAAGATATTTCAAAATGTGACTGCACCAGACACAGGGAAAACAAAGTTTCTTCTAGTCCCAACCAAAACCCTATGAACAACCTGAAAGATCTCCTACAGCAACATCATTTTCAAGTATGACTATAATTCCAATCAAAAGAGCATCATGTATGACTACTATCAAAACGACTAGAAATTATAAATGACTACATTTATACATTTCTCATAGGCGTTGCTTTTCCTTTTCAAGCAGGAATCCAAGACAGAAAAGAAGAATTTTCACATGCTAGATCTGCATTGTCTAATATGGTATGTACTAACCACAAACACCTATTGAGTGCTTGACAAGTAGCTAGTCCAAAGTAAGATATGTTGTAAGTGTAAAATGTTCACCAGATTTCAAGATTTACCAAGAAAATGTACAATATCTTACATACGTGGCTGTCATTTAATATTTCTACTGGACATCATTGATTTAGATGTAGTCCAACTCTCAAATGAAAAAAACAAGGTACCAGAGGTATTAAACAGCTTGGTAGTATCACAGCAGGGTCTGGAAGCTGATAACCTCTATCCTGCCCTCATTAATAAAAGGAATTCACCCTTTGAGACTCAATTTGAGCATCTCTGTGCTCATGAGATGCACTCATTCCCTCTCCATCTCTCAGCCCAGGTGATCACATCCTTTTCAGTGTTTTGGATCCACAACCCTTATATGCCCTTATAACCATACTGTTATAATCTGTGTTTATCTCCCCCAGATGGACTAGAGAACTTACTGGGGACAAGCACTATCTCATTCATTTTTCTATTACTAGAACCACTGCTGTACCGGACACCCCTATAGGCCCTCTGAAAACAAGATCTTCCATACGGTCAATTCTTAGCCTTACTCAGGTACAACTAACAAATCACATCGTGTACTGTGTGAATGAACTGCACTAAAACATTCACCTTTATCATTTACCTGTCTTAAATTATTTTTGGAATACGGCAAATACAATAAAGATGGATAATTTATATTATCAAAGAAACACAAGTTACAAAACATTAAAAAAAAAGTGCTTCACCCTGTTGCTCTGAAAAGTTTGCTCTGATGCTCTGATAAGAACTCTGAACTCTTGGGAAATTCAATACTCTTGGTTAGGTATAAGTTCATTTATTGAATGTGCTTACTAAGTGCAAAAACATTGGGCTAGATAAAGAAGGATTCCTGGACATGGAAACTGATGCAGCAATCTCCAATTAATTGAAAATTTTAGAACCATTTACAGAAGAGAAAAACAATCATATGCTTAACATACAACTGATTACATAAAGTTATAGTTTCTAGAATGCAAGCATGCCAACTTTTATATTCCATGATATAGAAAAAGTTGTGAAACCTATGGACGAAAACACTATATTGCTTGCCAAGAAAAACTGCAAGCAACATTGCATACAAAACACAAATCACAAGAGATTTTCATAAGAAAAAATTGTTTTAGAATCTACTAACTTAGGCAAAATTACTTGAAGCAGCTCTATATGGGCTTTGTACCTATGTAAAATCACTCATGAATTAGGTTTGAGTTAAATAATTCAGTCAAAATGCTCTTCAGTACTCAAAGACTGTGGTAATAGTCAACAAGCAGTTATCTTCGACGGTACAGACCTCAACCAAGGCACTTCGGTCTAATTTGCTACTACGAATAAGAGCATCAGCCCCAGCCCTGGCAGAGTTGCTGAGAGGTGTCTTATGTGGAAACTTAACCACAAGCCAAGGAGGCAAAGGTACAAAGTCTCTCCTGGAATGAGTGTCCCTGGAGCCCCCTACGGCCGTCCCTCTTTTTATACTACGTCTTCACCACTCTTCTAAGAATAGCTTTCTTTTTCTGCATCTCCTCTAATCTGTGGCTTTGCTGCTCCAGTATGTTACACAATTTTCCCAACAGAACTTTTCTGCCTGACACCAACCTGGAAAGATTTTAGGGCACCTCTTTAAGAAGTAATCTTGGTTCACAGAGAAAGGCCTCCTTCCTTACACCCAATTCAACACCCACTGTTCAAAATAAAAATATAATTACAACCTGAACTTCCATCAGGCTAATATAGGGAAAGAACTACCACAGGCTCTCTCTTCCACGTTCTGTATCTCCAGACTTTATTCCTCACTTACTTTTCTCCTTCCTCATTTCCCTCCTCAATCCCTGCTCCCCCCAGAAAAAACTCCACAGCTGGAGAATCTCGTTCTTAAAGCCAAACCATTTAGTGAGGAAAATAAGCATGCGCTTTTTTCTCTTCAATTATTTATTGTTCCTCCGTCATTCAGGAAGAGTTAAGCAAATATTTTTAATCTGACCGCCCTCCCAGAAAGATGATGCACTAAATACACACTGAAATAATACTGTCTTCCCCGAAGCAAGTGGATTCGCGGCAAAAAAAAAAAAAAAAAAAAGGAACCGGGGTGGGGGTAGGATTGGAGAAAAAGGATCGTTCGCCCCCAAAGCCGGAGATGGGACAAGGAGGAGAAAAGCAGCGGGGGTGGGGGGATGCGGGTCACAGCTGAGAAGTGCAGCACACACAGTCGCCAGAATCCAACAATTCGACCAGAGGGTAGGACCGGCCATCGCGGCTCCGGCCGGGTCCCGAGAACCAGGGGGTGGCTTCTCCTCCCCCCTTGGGACAAAACTAACTCCCAGGCGCGACCCCCTCCGCCCCCGACGAGAGGGTCCTGGTGGGACGCAGGCACCTTCGGAGGGGCAGCTAGCAACGGCCTGGATGGAAACAAGGCCCGGAGGGAGGTAAGTCGATTAGGTCAGCGCCGAGAGTACGGGATGGAGGGTCAGAAGCGGGCACTCGGGGGACTGGGGGCCGCGGCAAGAGACCCTCCCAAGACCCCTGGGGCCCTTCGCCGCCTTTGCAGAGGAGGGTCCCAGGTTCCGGCCCCCACCGCACCTACCGCTCCTCACCTCACGCTGCCTGAGCCTCTGCCTCCACCGCAACCCAAGCCTCCACAGCCGCCACGGTCCGAGCCATTTTCCACTCAGCCGCCTCAGCTGCTACCGAAAGCATCGGCGGACTCTGCGGCCAGCCAAGCAGAGACGTCACTTCCGGCCGGTTAAGCACCGCCTTCCGTGCCCAGGCTTCTTGTGGATTGGCTGGTGTGGACGGCCTACCTGAGGAGTGGGCGGGGCCTGGGTGCGTCGCGTGAGGCTCTAGCTGGGGGAGCGTGGGGGTTTACTTCGGCTTCCCGGGAGTAGTGTCGTGCGGGTTCAGGACGTCTCTCTGTGCAGCCCCAGACCAGTGGAGGGGGTCTCCGGGGACCCCAGTCGGCCACTTCTCAGGCCCGGCGTCCAAAGTTCCCCCCCGCCCAACCACCGAACTGTTCTATTGTTCCCGTGCCCTCTCCTGGGACTCTGCACTCGCCTGTATCTGGGCTGCAGCTCCCAGATTCGTGGTTTTGGCCCCAGGCCCGAGGAGATAAGTTTGTGATTGGAGGACTGAAGGGAACAGGCAAGATATAAAATCGTTCACTCCAACCAGCGTTTACCGAGTCCTCACAGTGGATCAGGTGCTGCGGGGTGTGTAATTAGTAGTCCGCCCATCACGTGGATCGTTTAAAGTGCTTTCACATCAGTGTCTCTTCTAATCCTCACAACAGCCAGGTGAAGAAGATGGCCCAATAATAACTCACAGCCAGACGGCTCTTTTCTACATTACAAAATATCTTCACATACAATCTCCATAATAACACTTTCCTCGTGAGAATTGAATGAGATTATGCTTGTATTTAGCCCTCAAATGTTAGATTAAAAAAATTACATGACCATGTTAAGCAGTTAGGAAAATTAAACCCATTTACAGATGGTGAAGCTGGGGGCATGATTCAAACTCAGTTCTAACTCTAATCCATAGTATTTTTGTCCCTTAAGCAGTAAGAGAACAGCTCCTTCCAGAGGTTCCCAGTCTAATGTGATAGACTAGTATGGGCTGCAATTCTCCGACAGAAAAAAAAAAAAAAATTGTGAGAAAGCTGTAAGAAAAGTAAAACCTCACTTCCAACAAATAGTGGAATATAAATCCGATTTTTCTTTCGTCTTTTTTTTTTTTTTTTTTTTTTTGGAGGGAGGATTTGAAGTGGATGTTGCCCTCTAATCACTGTAATAAACATGCCTGTGCCTCCCAGGAAATGAGAGTGGCTGGAGTTGCTACTCTATGAAGTCTAGAAGCAACTATATGATTATTCCTTGTGGCTGTGGCTACCAACTCTTGTTCCACCCACCCTTCCTACTCCTGGTTTTCCACCAACTCCCCTCCTCCCCCCATGTACACACACTTCCAGGCAGGCTTTACACACTCTCGAAGAATGTCCCTCAGGAATCTGCTTAGTGCTACAGCATTGTTCTGCTTTATCTTCTGATCAAAGGAGGAATTTCTAGAATTGGCAGCTCTTTCAGGAGATTAAAAGGGGAGGGGAAAACCAATTGTCTCAGGCTGATTTCCTAGCTTCTGCCCCAGAATTGAGTGTGCCTTCCTTCAGAAAAGAAGGACGGGGACTTGAGAGAACACTGTGTCTTGAGGGAAGATTATCTGTTTGACTTTTTTGTATCCTTCTTACATTTTTCTTAGGAGAAATATTGTCTCTGGTTCCCAGCAGCAGAGGGCCCTTGCTTGAGTGAGTTCCTTGTTGCAGTTCAGACTTCATTATTTTATTACTGTTTTATTATGGCTCTTGAATGGCCAATACTTCATAGGCTTTGATCAATCAGAAGGGTCCCAGTAAGAAGAGGAAGAAAGGGAGCTTGATGGTTCTCTGGATTCCAAAAAAGCAGCATTCACAAACTACCAGGTGTCAAGAATCTGAAATGGTAGCTCTTGCTTAGCTTATCTCATCTCTCTGGCAATAGGCATATGAAGATACACGTGTGAACAATAGAAACACAAACTTCTAGGAGAAAGTGCAAACTGGTGCTGCTGTCATTTGGAACCAAATAGAACATACCTGGCAGCTGTTTCTCCTCTTTCC